TTGGATCTGCATGATGACAAATGTCAGTAGTCTGGGTAACTTTACTTCGACTTGGTACCCAAATCTTGTGCCAGTCTACGTTCAGAATGGGGTTAGCTTAGTTTGCTGAAAGATCTACACATCAGGATTGATGAAAGTATTCCTTTTCTTAGTAAGGACTACCGATGGGTATTACGCAAAAGAAAACATCAATTCTGGGTATCTAACCCTATTTGTCAATCTTAGTCTCAGATGTAAATTGGAATGCTTTCAAACTTCCGTTTTTCTTTGCTTGGACTTTTAGGTGTCTCTGTTTTCCTAGGGCTTGATTAAAGAGTTTTAAAATGGATTGATTGACTTTAAGTCTGTTCTTTTACTTTAGAGCTTCGGGATCTACATAGGAGAAAGGCTGCTTGACAAGAGGTTAATATTTAGAAATACTTGTGGTAGTAGAACTAATTCAAACTTTCGGGTTTTTTTAAGTTTTGGAGGGGTATCTAGAAGAGAATGGTGATGTTCTTTTTTCTGTTCAGCATAAACTAATTAACCAATCTTTCTTGTTATAGGAAGCAACTGCAGAACTGTTCCTTAATGTTTTTCATAGATCACTTAATGTAAAGGCCAACAGCTGTATTAGGAGATGGGTCACCTCCTGCCCACATCAGGCACTTCCATTCAGCCCTGCAAGTCACACTGACTTGAGGGAAATCTTCAGCTGTGAGATTGAGAGTGGTTTGCAGTGTGACTGGGAGACAAAATTTGCTGCTCCTGGTCTTTGGACAAAATCTTGTTTCATCTGCTGACAAGGCTTTCTGAGGAAATATAACTGTTTTCTCTTTGTAACTGTGTGGATTTTGTAATAGTACTCTGTAAATCTAAGGGAAAAATTACAAAGAATGAATAGTAAAAAGAGACACTGTTAATGACAGTAACTGCATAGTTAAATTATGATACATGGAGGGATTTTAAAATAGTTTTTAAAGCTTTTACCACTACAGCATTATGTTTAATTCACATGAAATGAGATTGTATCTAAAACTTCAAAATTCAGGTATAATTTACTGCATTTCTTTAAAAGCTTGGGATGTCCTAAGTACATAAAAAAATGTATGCATCTGCTTGCTTTTGTTCATTACTCCCCCCTTTTCTTTGCTCCCTGTACCTTGATGCTATGAGAATGAGTACTTGAAAAGTAAATTGATACATAATGCAGGCAAGTGAGAAACTAAAAATACTAGATAATTAGTTATATCTTGCAGCCTTTGTCAATTTAAATACGTGGATGTTGTTCACTCCTGACTGCTCTTCTGGCTCTCCATTTACATATCCAGAATCAATTTTGCTGTGTTGTTACTGCTAATTGCTTTTCCAGAATACCTGAACGTCCTTGGCTATTTCCATGGTCAATAGCAAAATGCAACTGTGGTGGGCCCTAGATACAGGCAAGTGAGCACATTACTTCCTAAGTACCCTCCCTGTTCGAATCTTTATTATCCTTTTGCTTTACTAGTTTATCCTCCTCCAGACCAATTTCCTCCTTGAATGTCACCCTTTCCCACAGAGCAAGTGCAGCTCTCACTGCAAAGGCACTCAGCAGTGAGTGTGTTTCCACAGTGAGCATATTCAAACCCTCAAAAATCTTTATCTTCTGTAGATAAAGAAGAAGGAGGGCTATGGTTCTTGTTAAAAATGCCCTGGGATGGTTCAGCTCCTGATAAAGTTGGCTGTTTTTTCTTCCTTTGCTATGGCATGTGGCATCACCCGTATTGTCAGTTGCCCTCTGCAAAATGATCTGCAGTGTGTTTTCAGCTGCTTCCATGCTACCAGAGGAGTTTGATCACATACGCGCACTAATATTTCAACAAGGGAATTCGATATCAGTCTTGAGGTGATTCTGTCACCTAGGAGATGCATCCAGTCAGTGACTGGATATGTTCAAATCCTAGCAGAAATCTTCTAAAAGGTAAAGCCAGAGACTGGAAAGAATTCAGTACCACAATTTTTTCTGCTGCTGGAGGCTGGGTAGGAAATAACAAAGGGCTCCTTTAGCAGCTCTACTAGCAAAGGGAGTGGGGAAGGTAATTGTGGTGGCTGCCCACACTGAGTAGGGCAGATCTGTGCTGTGCAGCTGCAGGAGAGTGGTCTTGGTGACTGTTATGGTTTAGATGAGCTCAGCTGTTGTTGCCTGGAACTAGTATTGGGGAAATTCCCTGCCCTCAAGATTCAGTGCTCCTTGAATTGTGTTAGGAAAAGAAAAAAAAAACAAACCAAACAAGTTCCATGAATAAGTTATTTCAAAACTAGGTTGACCCATTCAAGCATGCAGATGTTTTATTTAAGTACTCCTCAAATGTCTATTTATTCAGCATAACACATGTATTATGCTGCCTTCCGAAATACGATATATGACTGTCAAACAAAATTGTCAAAAACAACAACTTCGGTTTCTTTGTATGATACACAGAAATAATTACATTTCATGTACAGTACAGATGCATTTTACACAGTCATCAACAGTCATTCACTACCAAAACAGCATTTAAATCACCTAAAACACCAAAAGAATGTGTATTTTCCAAATTCAGAATAATGTAATGAATTTGCATGTGACATGTAGAGATATGAGACAAGACTAGAATTCTGCGAAATCATACTAAATTATTCCCTAAACTGTAATTTAAGAATGAAAGTACAGGTTGTTTCTGGGATATAACCGTTATGCAAGTGTATTGCTCTAGTGCAATTGTTTTAGTCCATGCAAAAAGGAGAAAAAAGAGTTTTTGAGAGACACATGAACTGATGGAGTCAGTAGGTTTCTTGGATTGTATGTAATCTGTCCTGAACTGGGTTTGGTAACTGCCTTTTAACATTATTTAATGATGTTCCTATTCAGGAAGTACCATATGGCATTAAGCTGTCGCTGCAGATTGCTAGTGTAAAGGCAGTTTTATGTCAATAGTTCTTTCAGCACGAGGTGAGGACCAAGCCAGTTTTTTGTGAGTGACCATGGGTAGATGGAGGATGTAAGTATAAGCTCAAGGTCCATTCTACCTCTCATGTTAACCTCTTTAAAACTTAGCTATCCCACCAGCTTCAGCAGATTTACTGCAATTTTCTACCAGGGTAAAAGAGAGGCGTGTAATACCACATAGTTGACATCAGAATCACTCAAAGTGAGTGTTCCTCTGTCACAGGACAATCTGTGCTTCTGCTACCTGTTACAATCTGAAAGAAATTTAGAAGCTCGGTTTACAGTAAGTTGTTCTGATTTGCACAAAAAGCGAGTTGATAATTGCAAATTAACCAAGCTTCTGAAGGAGTAAGCAGTAAGAAAAAAGCATAATGAGTTACATTATATGCTCCTTTTAATTGCAATTCAATTCTAATAGGTGACATTGTTACATTTTGGTGTATATACTGTAGCATGATAGTCCATCATCTACTCTTCAGTCTCTGTTGACAGGTACAGAGAAATATCTGTGTGCTGTAAAAAGTGTACTATCAGCAAGTTTCAGTTTTTAGTGGGTGTCATCTCCTAATGTAAAATTTAAGGTCAGTAGAATGCTAACAAACACTATATTGAAATATACACTACTCAAACTATTAAATAACTGTGTTAATCATTTACTGTAATGGCCACTAATGTACCGAGCCTTTTGATTTATATGCATATTTCATTTTGCAGACATGCAATTATTTCTGATCCAGTGTTCTTGATGTATATATGTATGTACTGATATGCAAATATTCCATGTATATTTGATGTATAGGATTTATGGTAGTTTGTGTACATAGGAAGCGTTATGATACATCTTTGAATGCACTCTCATGAAGAAAAATGTCATTTTTTATCAGAAAGGTTTCTGCTAACATCAGTGTCTTCTAAAAATGAAGCCAAAACACCTTAACTAAGAGAGCTTTCATAGTATCTGTTAGACCTGCCCACTGGCAAATCCCAATAGAAATCAGTCACATTTTTATAGCTTTGAGACCCAACCCATTATTTATCAGTGTTCTTAGGTAATTAAATATCTTGACACAATATAAATTCTCAAACAAATTTTAGGATTCAAGTTTGTAGATAATTGCAAGAATAATTTCACCGTTGTTTTTACTGAATGTCTTCTAGTGTCTTCCGCTGCAGCCAACACTCTGGATGCTGCAGAACATCCACAGGGAAAGTTTAGAGAGAAATGTTAAATGATCCCCAGACAACCTTTGTTCTAATCTCAACTCAAATGGGAGTGATCCTGCAACAGTACACTGGAACAAGAGGTTTGTTCTGAAAATAACAGAATGAGGCAAGATGTCCACAGAACTAAGGACTGTGCCTGTTCATTAGTAGCCTTGAAGTCCCAAACAGCACGGTAATAATGTTGGAGCAGACAATGAACTGTCATAGAAATAGAGGACAGAGGACAAAAAGAACAGTGACTGAATAGCACATTTGTGGTGCACAGTTTGGCTGTAAGATTATGTAGATATTTGCCATTAGAAGTTTATAGTGTAGATGAAGTTGTGTAAAATACCTTAAAGAAAAATAAATCCTGATTCCTGATACAACAGGTGTACAATGACTTATTGCAGTTGTAACAGTACCTAGGAAGCAAGATAAAACAATAGTAAATACTGAACTAACTGAACACCTTTAGTACACTAATGAGTGTTTGAATAAGAAATACTGCATTTTTCAAAGGGAAGTTATTTGTACAACTACCATGGAACATTAACAATCAGCTTGTTGTAAGTGCACAGAAATGCCCCTTTCTACAGTAATATTTTATCATGCCTAATCTGAAAAACAACAAAAGTAAACTGAGATCACAGCTCGAAATAATTTCAGCATGCATTACGGTTGTATTTCTTTCAGTCAGTACAAACATATTTCATTATGAGCATTTTTTCTTTCTTTTTTTTTTTTTTTTAATAGTTTCTCAACAAGGTTGTGGTTTATTAACAGGAGGAAAAAAAGACATGTTATCAAAATGTTTCTTGTTTTGCATTCAGCAGGAACACGGGTTTCTATTTTTTTGTTTTATGTATATTTTTTCTTTTTTTTTCCTTTTTTTTTTTTCTAAAAAGAGCTCTCATGATAAGAAGAAGCATCAATGGGGACATTTCATTGTGCTCTATAGTAAGTCAGGATGGTCACAGAAGCTTCCACTATGTGTCAGTTCCAACAGTATGCAGGAACTCCACTGGTTCCCACGCTGCGACACCGACAGCCACAAATTGTTGTGGTTCTCCTGAACGTCTCACTCCGTTGCTGCTGGCGCACACATCAGGGGGTATTGTCTTTGTCAGCTCTCTCATTCCTCAGGACTCATTTCTCTCCGCTCGAGCTCAGCTTATAAGTGGTCTTTATTCTAATTTATAAATAATTCCTTATTTTATAAAGCGGATACTCTGACAATGTTTCCTCCCGAATACTCGGGAGACTCTGGCCTATCATCTCCTTCAGGTGTGGTGACGGGAGGTGTTGGGATGCTAATTATTGCTGTAGTGACGTAAGGCTGCTCACAGTTTAGTTTAACGCACTCTTCCACTTTGGCATTTAAGCTGGATCGGCTGGAGGAAGAAACAAGAACCCATGATGAAAGCAAGCCCATATTCCTGAACACCTGATTGTGCTTAGTGCCATCCTCTCTGCCCTCCCTTGTTACAGAGCTCAGAACCACAAAGTGACACCAGGCCCCTACCAACACATACCCCATGAGCAGGCAGCCCAAGGCCATGGCCCGTTTCTCCCTTCTTTCCCACCTTCTGTGCTTCTAAAAGTTTCTCAGCTCATCACCTAAGTGTTTCTGAGCGTGGGAAGCATTTAGGCTGCTCAGTGGGGAGCAAACAGCATGACCAGTGCCTTACATTGCAGGGAAACAGAGACTAAGCGAAATTCCCAGTACCCTACCGACTCTCCCATGCCATCTTTATGTAAGAGATTTTGTATGTTATATACCTTCAGTAGTAAGACAGAGTGATATGAACACAAAATAAGTTTGAGTTAATGAACCTCATCATCACAGCATCATAAAAAACCTAAAACTAACTCATAAAAGGTGAGACTGGCATTTCAAACTTTGTTGTTATTTAGTTTTCTTTATTTTTTTATGGGTTGCTTTTTTTTTTTTTTTTTTTTTTTTTTTATTATGTTAGTTGTTCTGTGATGGGAGGTGTGGTGCAGGAAAGTCTGCCAGCAGAGAAAGGATGGATCCAGTCAATCCAAAATAGATTAGGGCTCTGTGTTAAGCTGGAAGACTCCATTAGCTACAAGCTGCTGAATTGTGCACAGAAGTGAAATCCAAACCTAACAACTATTTAAAGCAAGCTACTCAAAATGTCACTTAAAAAGTGAATCTTCCTAGTCACTCATGCTGAGAACACTTCTTTTTTAAATGGCGGCATGTCTGAGTTCAATGGAAAACACTTCTGAGTCCTCTGATGCCTTTGCTATTTTCCCACAGATGGTGCTCAGATACACCTAAAAGTCAGAGTATTTGTGAGAGCACAGAAAAGTAAAACAGTGTATTTGTGAGAGTACAGAGATTTTCAACGACTTAAGCTGTACTTTCCTCACTTTTTTAATAACTCCTCGAAATACAAAATACATTTTTTTTTAATCTATTTCATGCCTTTTGTTTGGTAGAGACTTTCTTATTACTACAGCGCTTGTGACTCTGGCAATCTAGTTTTATTTCCCTTTTCTCTACCTTATTTGGAAGTATCATTTATGCTATGTTTCTGAACTAAATCAAGGAACAGCAGTGTCAAGTTTTACTTCCTATTTGCTTGTCTTGTATATATGAACTGCACATTTTTCTGTGCTTTTTCTTATTCTGTGTTTGTCTGTGAGCAGTACTGTTTGGTGCTTTATATCATTTGGAGTCCCTGGATGCTATTCTCTGCAAAGAACACACAACGGTTTATGGGGAGGACATAAGAGAGCAGAAATGAAAAGAGATTGCCTATTCTTTTATCTTAGAATTACATTAGGAGAGAAGAGAGTGCGGGCTATTTCAGGACTACTGTCCATTTTCAGATGACAGTTTCAGTTTTATCTGCAGCCTACTTGTGGAGGCCAACGCGTATCCCTAGTGAACAAAGAGGTGTGCTGATGCTAAGAGGTACCTGTTAGACAGAGGTGTCCTCTCTACACATCTGATCTGGATGGTGCTGAGCTCCTGTACGCTGCCGTGGCGGCTGCCCGTGAGGGCAGTGTTGGGGATGCGGTACGTCTTTTTATGTCTTCGTGAGCAGCAAGTGCCAGTGACGCCTTGTTGGGACGACAGCGAGGGGCTGTGGCTTGGGGGTCTATTGACTGTAGAAACTTCCATGCAGCTCTCTTCGTAGAGCTGTTCATCCACAAACTCGTGATTCTAGCACAAAGGAACCCAGCAAAGGGACAAAGCAGACGCAGAAAGTTAATTAAAATGAACGTATTAATTATGCTTGCTTAAAGGCTTAAATTGGTACAACTGAATAAATCACTAAAGTTAGACAGCTTAGTCTTGATTATGGCGTTCAGCCCCTATTAGCCTGGGCTGAACACCAATACAAATATAAATACAAATGTAAACACTGGAACAAAACTCTCAAAGTATTTAGCTATGAAAAAATAATACAAGTTCTTTTGTATGACCATATCATAGGCTGCACTACGAAAGTCCGTGTCATCTGTAGAGTGCCATAAAATGGGGGATTATATTTATTTATAAAAATAAAAGTGGTGCTTATGTAAATGCCCTAAATGCCATTTAGAAATAGGATTTGCTGTACAAAACTACAGTAAAACTGATAAACGTTTCTCAGATGACTTTGTAATACTTCAGTTGGGATTACATGTTGGACAGCAGGATTTGAAGCGCTGTTTCAAGGTATGCATCTATATAAAAGAAAAAGAATCAAATAAATAAACCTTTTGTTTGCAGGAAATGATTAAACAGTCATATAAAACCATTCAGTACATTCCTTATTACTGCAGATCTATATATCAAAATCAGTTCTGAAGACAGAGTGTTTGGTAAATAAAGCGGTCTTTGTTCTTGCAATCCTTGCTTACTCCCAGCAGAGACAGAAATTCAGTAATTTCATTGGGTTGTCATAGAGCTGAATCCAAATTCAAGCAAATGGCATTTTAGGTTGACTAGGTAAGTGACTGGGGATTGCTTCACACTAAGCTGTGATTTCCACACCTTGAAATAGTGAAGTAGTGGTGCTGATAGTAGGAGGAGACTAAATAAATAAAGAATATATACATATTTTTGAAGCAGCAGTCCAAACTAAACAGAGATTAAGACACATTCACATGCACTTTGGGAAAGCCACCTTATTTCTAAACTCTTTGAAGTTATCACTGGAATTATCTGCATATCTTGGAAATGTTTAGGGCTTATGCTTTGTTTCACATTCTCCTCAGTGTCATTCACTTCAGGTTTGTTAGCCTGCTGCATGTTTATCTATTGGAAAGAGAAAAACTATTTTTCCCTTAAAGAAGGACACACTAATTGGAAAGGGGCTCATGTTTTCCAGGAGAATTGTGGTACAGTGCAAATACGAAATATGTGAGCAAAATAGTGTATCAACTGCAGCCAACTATTGCTAAAAATGGAAACACCTTCATAGGCTTATTATCATTTCTGTTTCTTCTCTTTTCCTTCACTCAAACATAAATGTGTGTGGAATTGACTGATATTGAAGAATACCCATTTCAAGTGATATGGAAAGAAAGAATTATCTTGAAAAATCGACTATTCTAGAGCACGTGTCAGCAACAAACAAGATTCTAAATACTATCACACAAATGGACAGTGGACGTTCAGAGAGAAAAAAAGACCTAATCACTGTCTTCGGGTTCTCTTTGAGGGTTTAGATTCTATTTGCCAATAGTTATACTCATTTTCCCATTGAAAGTTATTTTGTTCTTCCGAAAACTTTTATGGAGCAACCAACAGAATTCAATTAGCAGGGTCCATTAAAGAAGGCTGCTGAATGAACTTTTAATACAGACTGGAAACATTTTGAAATGATATAATGGCTCCAGTTAATCTATTTGATTATACTTATAAATTAACTTTTCTTGCATCAGCTAAATGTAGCCTATAAAATATAACATTTGGTACAATTATTTTCGTTATTAATGTAACTTTCACAGAATTCCATGACATTACTCATGGTGCGTTTCATAGAGTATGAAAGATTTTATCATATCGGCTTTAATTTGTTGGAAAAGAAAAAATACTCCTTTGCCTAACAGTTGTTATAAACCACAGTCCAAAGCAGTTATTTTGAAGGAGGAGAGACTAAGAAGGCATCTTGTTCTTGTTGGTACACCAGGAAACAGCTGTTTTCCAGATTCTACAATCTGGGTGCCTAAAATTTCTACTTGCCTCTTAAATTTTTAGAATGCAAAATCTGGCCAGACAGTTGCTTACATAAAGCTTCCATATTCCATCATTATAATTAGAGGAAATGTGAATGTTTTGGGGTTGAATTCCACCAAATGGATTTTTTTGATGACTACTATGAGAATTTAACAAGACCTGTGGCTACTACTAAGTTTTCAAAATACATTTGTAATATTTAACTGTGGAACATTTCAAGGCAGATTACTATTATCAGGTTCTAGTACAGAATGTCTCAAAAATGTTCCAAAAGGACCCAGCCTGAATACTGGCAAAGTAACTACATTATACTCGAAATAGGAAATAAGACATTGTGTCCTACAACCCATTATATAAAAATGATATTCCAAAGGTGAGCAAGGAAAAACATAAGCACTGTGAGATGACATATTACTAGCTAAGTGATATAACAAATGGGCCATTTTATTTACAAGAAAAAGTTGTCCAAAGGAGAACACTGATTTATATATATGAATACATAATATTTCAGCACTGTCCGGAAAGGGAAAACCTTATATTTTTATTTTTATTTTGAGAAGGAGTAGTAAGGCATTCACATTACTCTCCATTAAATGTACCGGAAGAATTGCTATGTCTTTTAATTAAAAATAAACAAATAAATAAATAAATAAAAAGGAACATTATGATGAAATAACAAAGTTCCACTATGTATCCAGATCATAAAGAGAAGTTGCAAAATAGATGAATGGTTGAGGTTGAAAGGGACCTCTGGAGGCCCAACCCTTCTCCAGCAGGGACACCCAGAGCAGGATGCCAGGGTGGTGTCCAGGCAGCTATAGAAGATCTCCAAGGAGGAGACTGCACAGCCTCAGGGCAGCCCGTGCTGGTGCTCCATCACCTGCACACTGAAGACCATGTATGCTGCTAGGCTAGGCTGATATCACATTGCCTTTCACACTAGCCAAAGCACTCATCTGCCTCTCTTCCTGTTCAAATGCAGAAGGTACCATGCTTTAAAATACAATTAAATGGCTTTTCTCCCCAACTAATCACATTCACAAAAGGCTTATTACTTAAACAAAATACTGAAAACATTCAGAATTAGGCTAACGTTGAAATTTACAGGAAAACATTTTTTTTTTACCGTAGTTTTTTCCAGGCAGTGAAGCAGGTGGTGGTGCTGCGTTTCAAAGGAAGAGCCAGATTTGCTAACAAAGCCCTGTTCTTCTTCACTGGAGGACTGTTAATACAAAGAACTCCGTATTAGTCTCATTTGTGAACAAGAGGGCTCTTATCCAAGTATTTGATCAGAACTAATCTGGATTGTATACTGTAGCATAACTGTAAAGCCTGCTCCACATGGGATAACCCAAATGACCGTGGATGAGATTACTGTTTTACTTTTTTTCTCTTTAAATTAAAGTATTCCTATCCTTCCCTTGCATCTCCTTTTAAATATTTCTATTTTAGGTCTTTTAATACCTACATAGGTTGCCTAAGATGATTTCCAAGAGCAATCAATGTGCAAGCCTTGAATTTCGCATTAGTACATACTTACAGTTAACATAAATTTCAGTGACAGTAAAATATTTTTTGCTTAGGAATGTGCCTTATTGGAAGGAAATTAAATAGAGTTGTCCTCTTGGGATCGTTTCTCTGCACTGAAGAATGCGTGGTATTGCTGCTTACACAAAAAGTCATGTCAGTGATCCCAATCTGCTGACTGCAGAGAGCGTACAACAGATGTTACTGACACAGAATGAAGAATTAAGTAGAAAGCATCCACTGTTTATTAATTGCTTTTGTAATTATTCACTGGAAGCCAGAAAACTAAATAGGGGAGGAAGTGGGATAATAGGAAACGTTACAATTCAACTTCGAGGTATTTGAAAGCTGCATGGCAATTAAGCCATTTGGTGTCTCTTTCAGTGATTTGAATTCTTCTGAGCAGAAGAGGAATCGAGAGCTCTGACCGCTTCCCTTTATGCTAAATCACAGTACCTTCCTCTTCTCCTGGCTATATGCTAAAACGTTAGCCTTTATAATGCTTCTTAAACAGGAAGGGCACAGAGGAATGAAAGCCTTCCTGTATCCCTCAGGGAGCTGCCAGAAAGTAGCAAGGACTGAGAAACACTGAGCCCTCAGTGCTCAGCTCTGCACAGCCCAGGAGCTGCCTGCGGCCACTTGCCGTCCTGCGGTCCCTGCTGCACCTGGGAGTAATGGCTGAGGTTGTTGCAAGAAGAAAAACAAAGTAGGCACTTCCAGGGAACATTTGCCACTCTGCAACACTGTGCCAACAGTAGCCTACATCTACCTCTCTCACTCAGCACAAGGGACTGTCACCTGTGTTCTAGTTGCATAAAGCCAAATGAGATAAGCTTATCCTAGAAGGCAAATGAACTAAGCTTTCTTAAGAGATTTTTCTATAAGATCTGCCTCTAAAAACCCAGCTTACATTGAGCACAGTGTTTCGATCTGGCCATTTCCTCTCTTGGTGTGTGCGTGGTTTTTTTGTTGTTATTGTTTGTTTGTTTTTAATTACCTTGTCATCAGCTCCTGTAAAGTACCTTCAGCAGTAATAATTGCCCAGCTTATCTTTCCTTAATCTACCTCTAAAGACAACATTGCCTAAAGACCCAAGTTGACGTGCCCTAGTGAGAAATAGAATAAACTGCTGCTATGCTGTTATTAAGCTGTTACTGTGGAGGTGGAGGACACAAACACATTACCTGCTGCAGCTGGTTACTCAGTAAGCCATTCCGTTTGCTCTGCATGTAGGCATTAGCACTCCCACTCTTTGCTGCACGAATTCGAGCAAGTCTTGCTTTCTGCATAAACAGACAAAATAAAAGAGCGTCACATGCACTTGTATCCATTATTCTGTTTATCTAAAACTACTAATTGGAACCAGCTGTTTATGAATACCAATGTCACAATCACTGAAAGGTTGCACTGCATTTGTCCTCCAGGTGGAGCAATCACAAATGTCTTCTCATAGAAATGCAAGAAACAAGTTTTTATTTATTTGCATGCATCAGCTGAGAAGAAAAATGATTTTGGAGAGGGGATTAGACAGACCAGCATGTAAGTGATTCTTGTTTTGTTTTGTTTTGTTTTTTTTCCTGTATGTCTGTGCCTTGTAGATCAGGAGCATGGCTTTCATCTTGGCTGCTCTGGCAGTGATTGTTCAAAGAGGAAGAAATAACTCGCAGAACCATAATACTGCAACTGCTATAAGCTGGCTTCTTGGAGATTTCTGAGTTTTTGGAATAAAGGAATGCAGTGGTTGTTTTTAGTCTCTGATTTAAATTCCTAAATGCCTGCCAGGCCTTTTTAAAACCACTTTTTTTTAAATAGACGACAACTCAATTTGCATTTTTATTTAATGTGCATTTTTATAATGAGACTTAATAGTCATCATTGTTGATCGTAATCTGTCCATAATTTGGTTTTTCAGAGACAGCAGTCATCCAAGTGCTGAGAAAGAGATTTGGTTTGAGAGTACTCAAGTGAGCCTTCTTGTTTGTGTAGGCGACTTTCATCCCCAAGAAAGTATCTTGTTGGATGCTTTGAATCCACTGATTTACAGAACAGTTAGAAGCCATCATTTCAGAATCAGAGAATCGTAGGCAAGGGGGACCTCAGGAGATCATCTTGTCCAATCCCCTGCTGCAGGCTTCCCAGAGTAGGTTACATAGGAAAGCAGGTTTTGAAAGTCTCCAGAGAAGGAGACTCCTGTCTCCAGGCACCACTGAAAAGAGCCTAGTCCCATCCACTGGACTCCCACCCATTAGATGTTTATAAGTTTTGTTAAGATTCTCTTCCAGCTTTCTCTTGTCTAGGCTGAACAGTCCCAGGTCTCTCAGCCTTTCCTCATAAAGGAGATGCTCCAGGTCGCTCATCATCTTTGTGGCTCTCTGCTGGATCCTTTCTTGGAGTCCTCTGTCTTTCTTGAACTGAAAAGCTCAGAACCGGATACAGTGGTCCAGGTGTGGCCTCACCAGGGAAGAGTAGATGGGGAGTGCCACCTCCAATTGACCTACTGGCCGTACTCTTTTTAATGTACCCCAGTATTCCACTGGTCTCCTTGGCCACAGTGTCACACTGTTGGCTCATGGCCATCCTTTCTCCCTCCAGGAAACCCAAGTCTTTCTCCACAGAGAATTCCAGCAGGTCAGCCCTTAATCTGTTCTGATGCGGGTGTTATTCTTCCTCAAGTGTAGGACTCCACGCTTGCCTTTGTTGAATCTGATTGTGTTCCTCTCTGCCCAGTGCAGAGGAAAGCATAAAGAAAAGAGCCTCTTGACAAATGCTATGTAAAATTGAAGCATTTGTGAGAGTTCTAGAATGGTATCCTAGTTCTGTAACTTTTATGTGTGGTTCTTTTTGTGTAACAGAGAGTTTGGGCTTACCTTCCAGCTTAGGTTTCTGATTCTGAAAGCATCAGGAATTTAATGGCTGTTGAAGCACAGAAGGTGACAAGGTGAAGAACTTGGAAAACTAAGAATCCTTGAGTGCTTAACATAGCAGGAAGAAGCCCAGTCACTGCAGCCACAAGATCATCTCTCTGGTAGGACTAATAATTCACTGCAAGGAATGACTCAACACCATACTTCTTTGCACTCACAGCCTCAATCTCACTGAAGTTCTCAACAGTGAGTGAAGAAATTCATGACAGCTAACAGCAAGCATGGCTAGAATCTGGCTGAAATGTGCACATGCTGTGTTCAAGAATATACGAAAAATCTCTTAGCACTGTTCCTCACTAGGATCTTGAGATGCTTTGGAGATGCTATTGCAGAGTGCAACTTGCAGTCTTATAAGTAAGTGATTTCAGCCACAAAAGTTTTTATGACTTTTATAAGGAAATTCATTCAATTTTAAGAACAAACATACTAATAATAATCTTGCTTTTCCTTTTAGCTTGTATGTTCATTTCCTCTTCCAGTGGCTGAAGTAATAATTATGGTACTGCACCACTTATTACAGAATCACAGGGTTGGAAGGGACCTCAGGGATCATGAAGCTTCAACCCCCTGCCACAGGCAGGGCCACCAACTTCCACATTTAATGCTAGACCAGGCTGCCCAGGGCCCCATCCAATCTGGTCCTGAACACTTCCAGGGACAGGGCATCCACAGCCTCTCTGGACAGCTGTTCCAGCACCTCACCATTCTCTCTGTACAGAACTTCCCCCAGGCATCCAACCTAAATCTTCCCTCCCCCAACTTAAAAACATTTCCCTTTGTCCTGCAGTCATCTACCCTTTTAAAGAGTTGATTCCCCTCCTGTTTGTAGGGTCCCTTTAGGTACTGAAAGGCTGCAATGAGGTCACCCTGCAGCCTTCTTTTCTCCAGGCTGAACAAGCCCAGCTCCCTCAGCCTGTCCTCATAGGGGAGGTGCTCCAGTCTTTGTGGCTTCGTGCCTCTCCTCTGGACCTTCTCCAGCAGCTCTCTCTCTTTCTTGTACTGGGGGCTCCTGACCTGGATGCAGTACTCCATATGGGGCCTCGCAAGAACAGAGCAGAAGGGGAGAACCTCCTCCCTGTCCTTGCTGGCCACCCCTCTTCTGATGGAGCCCAGGATACCATTTGCCTTCTGAGCCACAAGGGCATACTGCTGGCTCATGTTAAGCTTTTCATCCCCAGGTCCCTCTCCACAGGGTTGCTCTCAAGGACCTCTCTGAGGTGGGAACTAATAGCTTACATCTTCTTAGATGAAACTCATTAAGATGGCCAGAATTTACATAATTTATTAAAGTGAAGACAATAAATCTATTACAAAGGAGGCAACCAGGTATTGCATGCAGCTTGCCTGCTTACACTTCAGATTATGTGAGGGCTGCTCCTATTTTATGATGTTGACCCACAACAACAGTGTTGGTGTTATTGCAGTAGAGGTTGAACTTTCCCACCAATATTCCATTACATGTTGTTGCTGTGTGACAGATGGCAGCAGAGGAGCAGTCTGACATATGGTGTCTAACATGGAAGCGCGTGTGAAGCAAAGGTGTGGAATTGAACTTCTCCATACAGGAAAACTTGCACCTGTTCATTGCTGCTTGCTGAACATTTGTGGAGAACAAACAGTGGATGTGAGCACAGTGAGGTGGTGGTGGTGGTGGTGCCATTCAGCAGTAGTAACAGTCACAGTGGGTCACCTCTGCTAGTGCAGATTGTTACAAGTGCAGCATGCAGGCTCTTTTTCATTGTGGCAAAAGTGCACAGCTAATGGAGGTGGTAATGTTTAAAAATAGTGTTCTGTAGCTGAAAATGTTCTCTATCAAACTGTTAATGTGCTCTTTGTATCTGTTGTAATTTCCATGGAAATAAATAGGAGGCACTACTTTTGGAGTGACCTATGTAGAAAATACCTCTGAAATTGGATGTGTTTACAAACATGTTACAGCATTTTCTTTTCAGTTCTTCTGACTGATCAGATCAGAGCCCATAGCTTGAGCATTCCAGTGTCTGCCCATGTTTCCTAACATGAGGAATCATTAAAAGCTCACGTCATCCACAGGATTTTAAGAGCTGCACGCTGGGGACTGAATTCCCAGGGAGGACACCAAAACTGTATGATAACATCAGAAAAACTGTGACTATGGAAGAATTGTAATTTTCTTTAGTCTTCAGTCTTTTCTGTCATGTACAGCAGAAAAGAAGTGATAACTGTCCCTTTCAGTCACCTCAGTGTCCTTTCTAACTGTCCTTTCATAGGAATATCTGAAAAAAAAGGAAGGGATTAAATTCTCCTGCAATGGGTTATCTGCTTTGCTAGGAGGTTTTCAGTGTTACCCATTCAGTGTGAAACCTTGATTTTGGTAATTTTTACAGTGTCTAGGGGAAAAACCATGAGCTAAAACAAAGTTCTTTTACCGGGATGAAATTCCACCATAATCTAACATGAAACTTTCTAACAGAAATAATGATCAGCTTCAATTCTTACAGCATCTCCTGTATTGCCCTGAATTCTTTTGAATGCTTTGCTGCATTTTCTATTTTCTAATTTTGTAACTTAAAGGTGGGTCCTAATTATGACTGCAATAATTGGAATCATACAAAAGGAAAACACTTTTCTTTGGTGACTGTCAGTTTTAGAAAGTTTAGAAGTAAACAGTTTCACAAGGTTTTAAACAGCGCTAAATGTTGTGCCATGGGATGTTTACAGTATCCAGCTTTAAGAACTCAAGATACCCTCAAGATGGTAAGAGAGATTTTATCAGAAATACTTTAGGGCACAGTTTATCATGGTACTGGAATCATTTTTGACAAGAGCCTCTCTTCTGTCTGCTATGCAAGAACTGAGGTAGCCTGCCCCTTTAAAACTAATAGCTACATAGCTCCTTTTGTTTCCCTTCTGCTGCTCTCCAGACTACTTAATTGTCTTGGTATCAGAAACTGAAAACATACTTACCTTACAGGTCTTATTTCTTTAATGACCTTGTACAGTTAGAAAGAAAAAATTCCTTCCTAGCCTTTCTGTGACTCTTACAGCAGTGGTCAAAATGATCTGAAGGTTAGTCCCATTGTGTTTAAGTCATTTGTTTGTTTGGTCTTTCATAAATCCATTGAATATATTTGCTTTCAAGTGAAAAATCAGGCTCTGATTTTTCTCATTTCCAGTAATTGCTAGTAGTAAACTTCAAATTACAGAAAATAATTTATAGAACATCTGCATGCAGTAGAGAGGAAAACGCTGTTTACTTTGCATGTTAGTGGATATGCAATTTAAAAAGGTTCATGAGTTGCACCTTGCTTTCACACTCTACTCAAACTCAGTAAACTCGAGTGCTTTTTTGCTGAATTTCAAAGATCTTAGGTAAGCTATTCCACTGGCTATCTCTACAACTTCACTGAGGCTAACACTCCATTTAAGCTAAAATAAATTGCATTCATAGCATGGTTCCTTATTGCAAAAGCTTGGCTCTAGGTGCTATTAAGCAGTTATTGTAATTTGTCCTAAAGCTATTTATATTTATCTAGTACCTAATTATTTATAACTTGATAGATAAATACATCAAGTATAACTAGTAAATAATGAAATATGAGCCCAGCCTATCTTTACAAAGTATTTTCCAATGTGAAAATAGAAGGCCATAATAATATGAAAGAATCAAGTTGAATCGTATGCATTGTCAGATTTTGGAGCTAGCTGTCATGTTTCTGTTTATGTTTCCATTTGTGTTTCCGTCTGTTTGTTTCCATATGGACCAGTCACAACACATCTGTCATTAGATTTGCCACTTGAAGGCACTGATGAGAAATGAAAATAACTTGACCTCCTGCAGTTGTCTCTAGCTGAGAAAAGCAGCGTTCTTCAAAACTGTCTACACTTCTGATAAATCTACTTGAGGAAAAAGCAAAATAAGACTGTAGACAATAATTAGTTAAGCCCCGAGTGCAAACTCCTGTATGTAGGTTGTATTATTTATCTATCTATTGCCAGATAAGTTCTGATTCTTGGACATCAATAGCTGATAGAGGAAAATGTTCAGATAACAATTTTTTTTTTTCCTTTTCCCTTTTTATTTTTTATTTATTGTTTATATTGAGGTCTCTTTTACAGCAATGCATTTTCATAATTAGAAGTAGGATTTTCCTTTAAAATGCATTCAAAATGAGATGATATATTTATAAATTTCACTTCCTTCTCTCGAGCATTAATGTGCAGCATTATTTTATTTTTTTAATCTTGAAGGACAGCATGGAATTCAGTAAATGCATGTGTTGGTGGTCACATGGATTTTCAATAAGTCTCCTAAGATTAGCTTTCAGCACTTCACTGAATTCTATCAAGTTTCCTTACTGCCCAAATGTTTGGTCATTTCTAAAGGCTATTTTGATTGAATTTATCCATGATAAAGGCTATCTTGTTTGAAATTATCTATGAGATATTGATAAAGGAATTTCCAAATTCCAGGGGGGTTGGACTCAATGATCTCTGGAGGTCCCTTCCAACCCCTACAATTCTGTGATTCTGTGATTCTGTTGTAGCAAACAGGCAGTACCATCTCTTGCAAGGGTTTATGCTGTACTTTGAACAACATAAGTTGTCCATCACCTTCCCAGGGATGGAGGTAAGACTGACAGGGCTGTAGTTTCTTGGCTCAAAACAAATTTAAATCATAGTTTATCCTAGTGTCAAAAGTCAGATGCTCAGAGTCTCACTTACTCAGGAACTACCTCTTGGATTTCTTTTCCACTCATTCTTGCAACTACATTTCTCAGTACATATTTGATTGTACGGCAATGACTGCAAATCCAACTAACAAATAATTCTGCCAAAGCTCCACCTAAGAGTCCATGGTTTTGACAGGCCTGCTGGAGGCCTGGATGGTTGGCAGGTGCTAATGGAACACTGAATGCTAAACTTTGTGCAACAGCAGTTTTTGTGAACTCTGCTACCCACTGTGAGATCCTTTTCTACTGTACAACTAAGACAGCCCATCAACATTGTTGAAACTGACCAAGCTGGATTCCATGAGTTATGGTGGAAATCAGTGATTGAAAGACACAGCCTTCTGTTACAGTCAAGCCTTTCAATAGGTGTAATCATATACATACTAAGAGGTTTAAAAGGAAATTCTTTAGAAAATTAATTTCCTATGACAATAGCCACCTTCAAAGGGAGTCATTTCAGGTTCCTTGAATGGCACTTTGTTGTCGGGATATTAGATGGTAGGGGTTCTGCACAGGTATAAGGCACTGGATCTTTCTTAATTCTAAAGTAGTCTTGTTTAAGTCACAGTGCTGCTGTTGGTAGTGCTCTCTTACTACTGCTGTTGCTCATCTCTACCTGCTAGACCAAGGCCCCTTCACTGCCAGGACATTCTGCTGAGCCACAGCCAATAGCCAAGTGAGGGAGGCAAAATGGGAGGGAGCTTTGTAAGGGATGGCAGGCTGGGCAGGGCCATCACCTCAGTGCCTCCTGCTGCGCTATGATCATGGCTTGCAGCCAACCTGGTGGCCTGGACACCTTATTCAAAGATAGTGGAGCTCTCCTGTGAAATGCAAATCTATACTTCATAGGTAAATATTGATAAATACAGACAGTGCAATATTCAGTAAGTTATTTTTGCTGACTTTTCTTTCAGTCCCTCAGAGCAATATTCAGTTCATATCCTCTCAGTCATTTTAAAATGAGAGAGAAGATAAGTTTTGCAATAGGAGAAATCAATGAAACATTTCTAGTGCTACATTAACCAGACCTTAAAGCCATTTTTTTACTAAAGCAAGAAGGATATAAATGTGGTCAGAGTAAATCTGTGATCCTTACTCTTGGCACTGTTCTGGGGAGCAGAGGAAGCGAGATTTTGCGGAATTGCCGTTCATCACTTCACATTCCTGTTTGTGGCATACAATGAGCTCACTGTTTTTCAAGGAGAGAAAGTCAGTTATTAAACAGTTTCTATGCAGGAAGAGACTATAGGGAATATCCGCCAGTCTGCTGATCTGATTTTTGTAAGGTATTTCCCAATTTCCATCTCTTTTTCACTGTAAAGTGCAAATCAGATATAGAAAAATTTATTCAACATTATACGGTAGGCGGCTGTGTGTATCTGAAGTAAGGCTGGTTGGTCTGTGCAGTCATGAAAGCTCAGAACAGGCACATTGATTGCTGGGATCAAGCAGGTCTGTTATCCATGACTGGCACAGTGCTCTGAGGCATAGTAATGAAGCACTGTGTTCTGCTGGTACATACAGTTCTTTCACTCTTTACTGCCATTACATAATAGGAATGAAAAATCCTCTACAAAAACCATGTACAAGTTATGTATTCTCCGTGTTTTCCAGTTGTGGGAGAAGGGAGTATATGACTGGGACATAGGACAAAACGATGCAAAAGGATGTGTGTAATTAGTACATAGGAGAGATATGATACTTGGAGCACTGAAACAGCCTGTATTTGAAATCAGGTTTCTAAGTGTCTCTGGGATACCCTGTTCTCTTTGGTAGCCATTTTCCCAAGTGTCTCGAGATGTGTCTATTTAAAGGATACAATGTCTTCATCCCAGATCTATGACTGACTTTCTAGGCAATGTACCTCTGTTTCTCCTGATTCGAAGATTTTCCAAGACTTATATCACTGTGTTTGTTTATTCTATTGAATCATCAGTCAAAACGGTGGCCAGGAATAACAAATTTTTGTTTTTCATGTTATAATCTCTAAACTAATTGCTATTGTCTTTAGGAGGCAGATGCAGCCTCTGTTCCCTTGTTCAACATGTATATTCTTCATCCATGACCTGCCTGCACACTTTTGTGGGCAGGGATCCCACTCTCACTGGACCCTTCAGAATCTCTGGGCCCACTGGGTGATGAACCTTTTCCATAGAGTAAATAGCAGAACGATTACAATCTCTTATCAGTGCTTCAGGTGTCAAGAGAGGCCATACAAGACATTTCTCATTCAGAAGGCTGAGTAAAGTGGATTGGGACTGGCATTTTAGATGTGGGCTGGAAACAATGGTGCTTCTCTGGCTTGGCTGCATATTTCCTGGTAAATAGGTCTTCCTGATTCTTGGCCTTGTGCTTGTAGGTCAGGGAGAAAAAATGCCTTTTCATAGAGCTAGTTGATATTTTGGTGATATCAGTCACCAAGAAAAGTGAAAAAAAAAATAAATTCTTTCGTTTTTGTCTTTTCCTGATTCAGCTTTTTCTGAAGCCTTTTAAGCAAAGAAGTGCTAAGGAGACAAGTTCCCAATAGTCAGATTCTCCAGGGAGTTCACCTGGGAATTAAACAATTGGATTAGTGAAACTGGCTGTTAAGACAGACATTAGAAGTAATGCTTATGTTTTTAGGCGTTGTTGGTTTTTTTTTTCTTCTTTTTTTTCTTTTTTTTTTCTTTTTTTCTTTTTTTCTTCTCAGAGCACTCTTGAGGAAAGAAAGTTTTCCTGAAAAATGATGCTTTCAGTAGGCAGTACTACAGGTATTGCCTAAAAACAGTAGATCTGGTCTAACAATTAGGATGAATTACATCTTTAATTACATCTGTACATTCTGACAAAGAAAGATAAACGAACCATTTTTATTTAAATTAAAAATAACACAGTATTTACATCTGGAACTCTGGCTTGGCATGTAATGTATACACATAGCAGTCATCTTTGTAATAAATGCTACTCACTTTCGAGATACATAAAAAAATTACTTTTAAACTGTTCTCAGTATCAAAAGGCACAAAATTGAGGAGCTCACCTTTTGTGCCCTGCGCTTGTCTGCTCGTTGGTTCTGGTGGTAGATACGGCTGAAGTTGGAGACAATCACAGGAACTGGCAGAGCAATCACTAACACTCCACTCAAGGAGCATATTGAACCAAAAATCTTGCCAGCTATTGTCTTCGGCACCATGTCACCATATCTGGGTTAAAGAAAATAAAACTCTTAGCAAAGACAAAATCTTTTTAAAGTATTGAATCTCAAGATAAATTAATTGCACAATAGATTTTACTTCTCTTGCAAATAATGCTTGATGGATATAATATTTTACACACATCCATGTTTGTCCATACAGCAAGCCTAGTGCTGGGCATGAATTTTTTATTAATTTGAAGGTAACATTTGGTATCCTGTTGATCAACTGTGAGCATCTGTGTTTTAGCTGCTCAAGTCTTCCCAAGCTGACTCTATTGCAATGAAGACAGACCTGCCTATGGAAAAATTCTCAGGGTCAAAGTCTTTACTCTGTTTAATTGAAGAACTCACTGCTTTCCACTGATGAGAACCACAGGAGATCACTTGGTAAGTTAGATGCCAAGCTGAATAATCTATATTCTCACTAAGCTGATATAGAGCTTTCATTTAGGAGGGCAGTGTATTTTGGAAGCCCAGGAGATCATGAACTTTTTATCCTTGGAGATTTTCAAGACTTGGCTGAACAGAAATACATCTGACCTAATCTATTGTTGTTGATAGGACTTCTTTGAGTGAGAGGCTAGAAAATCTGACCTTCAGAGGTCCCTTCTGTACTCTAAACATTTTTCCATGTAGCCAGAAGCAAACTCCAGAAACTCAAGCTACAAATGCAAACAATCAAAGAAATCTGCAAATACTGGCAGTGTTCAGAATTATTCAGGCTGGAATTTACCACATTTCTTTATGATGCTGGATATTGTTTTTTTCCAGCAACGATATAATATTTCCCATAGCGTTGCTGAGAAGTATGTAGAGGGATTCCCGTGACAGCTTATTAAGAGATATCAGCTATTTGCTCTTTGTAGACTGCCATATTCTATAGGACAAGGATGTAATTACATACTACAGAGTTTAATAAAGAGATACATTACCTGCAAGTACCATTCTGCTTCAAGTGAGTTTTAAACTATTAATAAACATAGATTGTAGCATGTCCTTGTGTACAGAGACACAGCATATTTTTCTGCTGCAGAGTTTACAACAATATGAAAAAAGGTAAGAAATAAAACTGCAGGACGGACAGTATTTGGAGAGTGCTATCTGGAAAAGAAAAGCAGTTCAGCAGGAGCTAGAAAGACAAATAGATAAGTTAGGGTGGAGTCTTCAAATTACATGGTCCAAATTGTGTCCATAATCATGAGAAGAGGGACTGCCTAACCATGGTTAGAGAATGCTTTCCAGCAACGAGAGCTCAACCTGTGTGTGAAGGAGATCATATATCACCTTGTGGGTGAAGATGAATTACTTGAATTTTGTAAGATAAGAAGAAGGTATTTAACTCAAAGATTCAAATATGGTTCATCCAGGCAGACATAATATAGATGGCCTAGTGTTAGTTTATTGACTGTGACTATGTTGTGTAAAATAAACGTTTAGCTGCTTTATAAGGCATGCCCAGGTTTAAAACATTCACAGGAAAAAAGTATATTAATATTTGTACTAATAAAATAGTCACCCCCTCAGAAATTCAGTGTTGATAATTGCTGATTTTGTGACATGCGGGAGTGGATAAAATGACACCATGTAATAGAAACCATCTTCTAAGTTAATGCTACAGGTTGTCTCAATTACAGGATGTATAAAATAAAGAACACTGGAAAGAGAGCTTTACTAAGCTACTAACATTTGTGCCTTACAACAAAGGGTATTTTCTGGTGCTTTTCTTCCTAAGCCAACCAGCCATTCTCAGAAGTGATACATAGACAACTGTTGGGCATGTGGGAGGATAATCAGCTTTTCGAGATCCCTTTGCTGAACGGGATCCCTGACACCTAACTACTGCACCCAGCTTTTTTCAGCAATGGTGAATGAATGGAAGCACGGGGCTGCTGTGGGCTGGAGGGTTTGCCCAGCAGCCCCACTCTGCCCTGTGAGCACCTGGGTGTGATGGGTGGCCAGAAGTTTGCTCAAAAGGGAAGGCCTAGGATGAGACCAGTAGTAAACATTATTGGCTACAGGGACTGTCAGTGTTTTGCTTCTTTCTTTAGGCTATGACCCAAGTAGTTTCAGAAATTGAATTCAAGTGTATCAACGGAAAGCTATTTAGAAGGCTGGATATATTTACACACACTTGACACAATCAGAACTTGAAATACAAAATTTATACACATCTAGTAGTATTAGGACAGACCTATCAAACTAGATTACTAAGCCTATATTTAGATAACTAAAATTATCACTTGAAATGTGAAAGTGCTGAACCATCATAAGCCTATATTGGCACCAGTAGCTGCTGTGAACTGAAGGAATTTCTAGTTCTAATTTGGTTTGAAGTTGCTCAAGGATATACCACCCTGCTCAATATGTGACACCATAATTAGGTGAATTAACCACAAACATGTTTTAGGCGTGGTGATGGGAGTTATAGCAGATACATCTCCAAAATTTCACTATTTATGTGTAACCTACCTAGGAATATGAGGAGACAGCTTTTCATGGTATTTCAGTGATATGGAATGAAACAAAAAAAATAATGTTGTTTGATACGTGAAGGTATTTTACAATGTTTTTAATCATTTCTGAGCAAAATGAAAGGATGGATATATCACCTATTTTGAAATAACTTGCTTTTATTTGTTTTTCAGCTTGAGTGAATTGTACTACAGTGACATTTTCCAAAAGTAATGCTGTTTGTCCACTGTTTAGTGCTAATAATACTTTTCACATCTTTAATAACCCTAACATAATTAGTTTTTCTCCTGTTGATAAACAGTTTTCGGGAGGTTTAGATAAAATTACGTTCAGAAAATATGACTGCCAAGACATTACTCCACCTGTACTGCATGAGAAATATGTTCACTCACTAAAGGAGATTTTACTATCCTGGCTAGCCTTGTTCTCTTCTGGGACAGTGACACAGATTTTAGTCTAGCATCGGCATGACTAAAATTGTTATCGAAATTCTTCCTGCTGGTTAAAGTTTACCTTTAGTTGTACTTCGTATATCAGTGAGTACCATCGATGGAAGTGGATGACAGAAAACAAAGGGAGAATTTCTCCCTTCACCTTATCTGTAACTTTCCTTGGAAAATCTGCACTAAAAATACCTCAGATTTTAGACTTAGCTTTGTGGTTCTTGTATTTTAAAGTGGAAAATTATGCTTGAATCTTTAAGACAAATGTTGATTTCTGCCACAGATTTGATCTCTTCGGTGAAGGAACACAACAGATATTGAATTTTATTAGGAAATTTTCATAGACTTCTCAAAAGGGAATTATTTCAGGGTTTTACGTAGTACTCTACTTGTCTCCATGCTATTTAGACTGTAACTGCAAACATATTCTCCTGTAAGTGTTTTGGTTTTTTTTTCCTACTTTCAATCAATCTTTTCATAGCTTTATATATAGTCTGTTCCATTTATGTCTCATTGTGGCCAAAGCCCACGTTGGTCTTTGGGCATTTATGATTTCTACTGACAATCTAATTTTGCAACATCAAAAGTGTCATCACAATATTGTAAACCCTGGATGAAGTGAGGAAGAAGAGATGCCATGTTTATCTGTGTTATCCGTCAGAGGCGTTCAACATTACCCAAAAAAGGAAGTGAAAAGGATGTGACAAACTAGATATGTCAGTCAAGTTCTATCAAATCACAAGTCAGAAACTACGTGATCAAATTAATGCATTGGTTTTACTGGACACAGTGCTACTGTGCTACTGCTTCAGTCCATGGCTCTCTGTTCATTAAGGGATAGATTAAATGGATGGATTTAATGGAATGTTTGTCCCAGTTGTTTGTATTCAACGGGCAATAGAACACGTCTGCACATTTGATTCTATATTGCAAGTGAAGACTGCAAGTCTTGAGAATTAACACTGGATCTTTAACCTGAGCAACAGGGGCATGATTTCTTATACCTTTGCATGACAGATGTGGAGGCTTGAAATGCAGATTGAACCACACACATAAGGGTGGGCTTTGTAGGAGCTTGGGAAAACCTGATGTATTTAGAATTACAAATGCCCATTCTGTACCCAAAAATATTACTATGTCAGAGCTAACCTACAGACGCCCACCTGCCAAAGCGATACTGCTTTTCTAACTGTTGAGCATAATACACCCAATGTTGCATACTGAGAATTCAAGAAATCTGAATCAGTATTTCTCTCATCTTCAGATATTTGTCTTATTACTGAGTCTAATGACAACTGCTTTTTTTTTTTCTTGTTCAATCTAAGACAGATCATCTGTCATCTAGGATTATTTGAAACAACTCTTACCCTTCAGCCATTTTTCTCTGAGCAAAGGTCTTTCCTTTAACAATCTTTATCAATGAGATTGACAATGCTGCTTTTTAAGTGTCTGTTTGCTAGAACTCAGGAGTCATTCTTTTTCAAATGAAAATTAACTGTATTCTGGAGGGTAAAATAATCAAAAGAATATTTCTATTTCTATGTAGTGATTATTTTATACGCGCTTCAGAGATTAGAAATGCAAATTTGCAATCATTTACCATAGGCAGAAAATTCCCAAACATCCAATGATCTCGACAGATAAATTCTCAAACTGCAGGAGATATATAGTAAAAATAAATCCAGGATGTGCACTTTTACAAAGATCAAATAATTGAGACTGACGTGAAAAATAAACTTGTCAATATTCGGAACATCGAGATGCAATAGCGCTTTCTGGCACTAGGGGGCATAAACACCATTAAAATTAAATGCAAATGCCTAAAGCCAATTTTAATGCATGTTGCAAATACTTCTGCCCTCTCCCACCTCTTTCGAATTCATTTACATTCTTTTACAAACATTACGTTGATTGAGGTCCGTTGTCTGCTCCCATCTTATTTGCTGAAGAAGGAAAGCTGGTAACATTTTTATTTCCAAGCATGTAAAACGTATTACAAAATAATGGAAAATAATGGAGTTGTAAAGAAAAAAAAAAAAGAAAAAAAGAAAAAAAGAAAACACCAACAAAAATTCGTTAAATTAACTTGGCA